CTCATGACCTTACTAAGTCATGTTGTTGGCAGGTGGCTACAGTGCTTTTCCTCATGGCTAATTGTTAGCAAATTAATAAATATAAATCTCAATCAGAAGTGTATTAAAATAAAAAATTTAAATAATTGCAAGTTTCAGCTATCCCTGATCATATACATTATGATATAAAAATGTGTTTGTGATCAAAATGACAGATGAAGCCATCTAGATTAACAACATAAAATTGTAACTTATTTATAAATCTGATACTACTCTCTAATGCTATAATGCTGACAATGGAGGCAAAGAACACTTTCAATTAAAACAACAATTAGAGATGATAACAGAATTAGAAACAGAAGCCAAATTCTCCAAACTTTTTGTTGGTCTTCCTTTAAATTTTGAAAGCCATGTAAACAAGTATTGTTACCTAGAGACAAAGGAAATAACACTGTGTTAACTGAGTTACCTTTCAACCACCCATTCTACCTCCTACATTTCTAACTTCACTCTTGCCATCTGAAACCCAGCAACCTCATCTCTCCCTTCCCACATCTCCTTGGACCCCTTTCCAAATCTGTTTTCCAAACTGCAGTCAATACCTAATCATGTTATTGTCCTGCTTAAAACTCATTAATGGTTTGTCTGTTAAAGTCCAGAATCCTTCACATAATCTTTCAGCCCTCTACCTGCCTTTGCAGCTGGGTAACCTCAATGGTACATGCCCTTTACTCAAGTGGAACTATTAATAACACCCCTTTGACTTCTGACAGTGTCTTGGTATGGACGGTATAGTACCTGGCCACTCTCCTCACTGCCCTCTCCTCTTCTTACTCACCAAGCTCACTGCCCCAGGGCATCTGCCTCTGAGCCTGCCCAATCCTACCCATTCTACACTCCTATGCCCAATGAGCTCTGCCTTCTAAGCACTTACCACACCTAAAATTCAGTAATTACGTATGTAATTACTTTTTAATGCCCACATTCCCACCAGACTCTAAAGTCCACAAGAACAGAAAGTTATCTGGCTGCTCTGCTCACTGCTCTGTTGCTGCAGCTCGGATTGGTTCCTGAGACACAGTGAGGGGGCGACGTCTCAGGTGCTGACTGAGAAATCCTGGGGAATGCGGGTCATAGCAGTGTGGAAGGAGAGTGTGTTTTGGCTAAAGTAGCCAAATATTGCCCTGGCCGGTTTGGCTCAGCGGTTAGAGCGTCGGCCTGCGGTCCCGAGAGACCCGGGTTCGGTTCCCGCTAAGGGCACGTACCTCGGTTGCAGTTTGTCCCTGGCCCTGGTTGGTCGTGCGGGTGGCAGCCACTCGATGTGTCCCTTCACGTCGATGTTTCTCTCTCTCTCTCTTCCTCTCTCTCCCTCTTCCTCTCTCTCCCTCCCACTCTATCTGAACAAAAAATGTCCTCGGGTGAGGATAAAAAAAATAAAAAATAAAAAATAAAGTAGCCAAATATTTATAATAAAAAGCATCTCAAAATACTCTGAAATTAATTAGGGAATGCAGAGCAATCTGGTAGCAAATAAAAAAAGAACATATATGTCAGATCTTGATTATTTGAATTTTTCAGGATGAATGTGTCTTTAATAAGAAGGAGCTTTTGGAAGGAAAAATAAATTTACTTGGGATGCTGGATGTGGATGATGAAGAAGAGGGAAGAGCTGGGATAACTCAATGCTCCTTTTCCCTTGAACAGCTGAGTCACACCACAGAAGGAGAGGAGGGCAGGAGGGGAATGAGCTGGGGTGGAGGGAGATTCCATGCCTGGTGCTGGGTGTGTAAAGCTTGGGATGACAGCAGGACAGCTACTAAACTACAGATTCTGGACTTTAGTACCAGCCACAAGGCCAAGGCCTCTGAAGCATATATGCTGGTCTGATGAACCCAGAATGCTAAGTGTCATATAAATGTCTGTGCAGGCAGGTAAATCTTTACAGAGTGACACCAAGCAAAAGGAGAGTTCGGAGAGCTATTAATGAAAGATACATCCTGTTCTCTTGCCATTTAGGTTGTCAGAATGTTCTAGCGTGCTCTCCCTCAATGGATAGTGTCAACCTCCGGAGTATGGTTCTTTGTGAACAATTAAAACCTGAGACCAAAAAACCTCTGAAAGCATCTGAAGAAATAATTTGATCCATTAATTCATTTGACAAATATTTACAGAGTTTCTGCTACATGGCAGGCACTGGGGTAGACACCAGGGAAATAATTAAGGACAAGATCACACTGCCCCAGTCACTCTGCCTAGCCAGAAAGGAAAACAGCTGAGTCCCAAGTAGTTATAATAGAGGGAAACATAGACTGCTGGGAGCGGGCCATGTGTGTGGGAAGGGCACATCTGAGCCGAACCGGGGAGGTCAGGAAGCAGTGTCTTAAGTTCATCTGCAGGGGTGAGCTGAGCTGAGCTGAGCTGAGCTGAGCAGGGGCCTGGCCTGCCGGCAGTGTGGAAAATGGGTAAGAAGGAGGCAGCCCTGCAAGCACAAACCTGGTGTCACAATACAGAGTGGAGGGCAGAAGTTGGGATGGAGAGAAGTGGACAGGGTCGGGAACATTCTGAAGGTAGAGTGGCCAGGATTTGGTTAACTCAGTGTTCGGCGTGAGCAGTTGGGTAGAAGATGGTACTGCTCCCTAAGAGAAGGAACTCAGGAAGAAGATGGTTTCCTCTGGACACGCTGGGTGGTTTCAGGGTGCCCATCAGCCATCCCAAGGCATATGTCCAGGAGGCTGCTGGATAAGCAATCTGACACTCAAAAATGAGAACTGGACAGAGACAAAGCTTTCAGAACTACTACTGTAACCTTTCATGACTCAGGGGTGACTCTGGATCATTCAACATGTCACACCTGTAGTGAGCCAGGCCCTGCCCAGGTGCTGGGTATGGTGTGATAAACTCAAGCTGTCCTCAAGGAGCTTTCATTCTGGTAGGACCAACAGGTAAGAAATAAGAAAACCCACAAATAAATAAAATTTCTGGAAGGAAACTGGTTCAGTCAGGAGTCTGTGCCAGTCTCTGAGGCATGGGACTCTGGCTCTGACTCTTCCTGGGGTGGCTGTTTGGTTCTTCCTGGGTTCCTGAAACTGGGCCGCATGGTACACAGCTGAAATACCAGTCCCATTACACCCAAGAGCTTCCTGAAGTTTTCTGTGATAGTGTGAGGTGATGTTTCTTGAAACTAGAAAGAAGACTTAATGCACCCCACCGATCTTTCTGGACTTGGCGAGCCTGAAGCCTGAAGCACAGACAGTTAAGGCACCTGACTCCCCACAACTGTGTGACTGTCAGTAAATGCAACGCTATTGACCAGGCCCTTCCTGTAAAGCTCAGCCGCAGGATTACTTCATCTGAGCAGCAAGACTTCAAAACACAGGTAGTGTTCTCCAAGCTCCACTGGAGCTTCTCAAAGAACTTGTTAGAACTGTCAGACCGCAGCATTTGTAAGAAAGAAATACCTGGGATGTGGGTAAGAGTGATCTATGTGGCATGCAGATGGGCTTTTATTATCATAGAAAACACTGAACATTATTTGCCCCCACCATCTTAAATTGAAACTGCAAACTTTAATCCTCCAGCCAAAAATGGTAATTACAAAGAATATCACCAATATGGGGAAAATGCTGATGGTATAATGTTAAGTGAAAAAAGCAGAATGTAAATATGTGCTCATATTATGATGAAAAAATTCTATAAAAATTCTATACAAACATGAGTAATGTCTGCTCAGGCAAAGCAGTGTGTTGATGAAAAAAAAAATGGTCTCGTCTTTTTCTGTGGGAAATTAGGATGGAAAATAATGGCAGAAAAAGAAACCCACAATTTGTTAAAGTGGCTGCTTCGCTGAAAAACTTCATTAAGGGAAAACCTAGAGAAAAACTGGACTTTTAAAAGACAGAGTGTAGGTTATTTAGAAAACAGCAGCTAAAGGCTCCCGGATCTTTGGCAAAGATGAAATGAGACAGACCCCTTTCAATTAAGTCACTAACACACAACTTGCATGTGCACAAGATCACACCAGTGGGACCACCAAGGTGCCAGTACCCAAAAGAGACCGCACCCTGGGCATCCAATGATCCGTTTGCTGTGAAGAAGCCTTCTCATGGGCCTCAGTCAGAGTCTTCAGGGAACTCCTAGCTGATTATAAACTCTTGCAGAAAGTCAAAAGGCCAGAATTTAGAACCAAATGCTGGATAAACTCCTATGACAGCAAAAGTTTAGAACAAAGAAAACCATTCTCCACCACTAGGCTGGTTCCTCTACACTGTTCCATTTCAAAGATGAGCAAACTGAGGTCCAGAAAGAAAAAGGAATGTGACGAAGATCTCACAACATGGCAGGAAAATCTGAATCTCCCTACTTCCGGTCCAAAGTGCTCTCTGATGCTCCTTGCTTGGGGTGACCAGCTAGCTCCCAAAGGGTACAACAAAGCACACAGTGGACCTGAATTAGAGTGTAAATTCAGATATAAAGGAGACCGTTGCTGCTTTGCTTTGTTAAAGTGGTTCTAGTAATGTCAGCAATTCACACACTTGGTCATAGCCAACTGGGTTACCATGTGCCCTTGGCTAAAAACTTAAGTGAAAGACTTGGTCACTGGTTCCCTGGATGACGAGGAAAGGAGTGAGGTATTCTAGGTACCCTATTAGGGCTGTTCCTGGATGTGGAATCAGTCAGCCCAGAAGCACGAACATCCATGACATCTACACAGCACACACACAGGTTCTATTTGTTTTCTCTATGAAATGTGCAGCATTTTATACTAAAGCTAAAGGTAGCCCCACTGATTTGCGGTCCCACATTTGCAAAAGCATTCATTGGAGGTTATGCGATGACTTTATCAAAAGTGCATCTAATTTCCATACCTACCCAAAGTCTGGGTTTTGGAGAATCCACATTCCCATAACTCCTTGGTTTCATGGAGAAGTTGCCATTGATGGCATATTTCTCTAAGGAAAGCTGAGAAACTCACCAAATCTCCACACACAATGCCCACTGGTGGGTTATCAGTGTGGGCTTACCTGGAACATCAATCAATCTTTTGTAGACATTCAAGAAGGCTGCTTCAGCTTCTTTGCTTCTTTTACTCAGTGCATCAATCTGAAAGGGAATGGAAGAAAGAAAAGAAAAATAAAGAGCTCAAAATTTATCAAGAGGTAATTTAAAAATCATTACACATCTAGTAAGTCCCCATGGCTAATGGAAGTCTGATTTTTCCACGTAAATGCTGGACTGCTGTGCCTTCAACGTCTTAGAGGAAATGTCTGTGAACATACAAAAGGGAGACAATCCACATGGGCCCAGTCCCTAAGGGTGAGTAAGTCAGGGGCAGCACTTTCAGATAAAGCCATTTGCAATACTGTCCCATCACCCAGTGGAGTGTGGGCTGTTCAAAGAGAAAATGGCCCAATTCTCTTCCTGGTCTCTTTTTTTCTTCTACCAGTATTTACTAAGAGCTGACTGTGTGCTGGGCACTGTGCTGGAGGTGGAGCAGGAAGGGACAGCAGATATGTAAACAAGTATTGAAATCCCAGCAGGGAAAGTACTAGATAAGCAGAGCCATGGGGCTGCAAAGAAAGGGACATCAAGCAGGAAAGTAGGTGGCATCTGAATGGTCCTCAGGAGCTGATAACCAGAGTGGAAAGGTGAGATACTACACAAAAGGGGAGTAACAATACCCAGAACACAGTTCTTAAATCTGGGGCTTCATAGATCATCTTTAAGAATTTTATAAAGCCAAGGATCCTCCTCCTAGAAATATAAGCCCCGCACCTCCACACACCCAACACATAGTTATACATTCTATTTTAGGACACTCACATATTTGTTAGTATTCTGTCCATGAAATCCAAATTAAGAACCCATGGATGGGGCTGTAAATACCGGAGAATAAAAGGGTCTGCATGGACAAATGGGGAGGATTGCTGGGTGGTGAAATTGGACAGGTGAGGGGGTCAGATCACGAAGGGCCATCAGTACACGTGGAGGATGAACTTCACCATCTGGTCACGTCAGAGTGGAAGGATAGGAGGTGGCAACCATTCAGAGGCTGCTGCCGCCCTGGCCAGTTTGGCTCAGCGGTTAGAGCGTCGGCCTGCGGTACAGAGAGACCCGGGTTCGGTTCCCGCTAAGGGCACGTACTTCGGTTGCAGTTTGTCCCCGGCCCTGGTTGGTCGTGCGGGTGGCAACCACTCGATGTGTCCCTTCACATCGATGTTTCTCTCTCTCTCTCTTCCTCTCTCTCCCTCCCGCTCTGTCTGAACAAAAAATGCAAAAATGTCCTCAGGTGAGGATAAAAAAAAAACCAACAACAGAGGCTGCTGCCTTTGCCCAGGTGAGTAATGTGCAGGGCAGCTGGGGTGGGGATTGAGGAGAGGAGGTCAATCAGAGAGATTAGGGTCCAACTGAAATGATGAGAGGCACAGAGGAAGCAGGTGAGTCAAGGATGAAGCCCAGGTTTCTAGCCAAAGCAACAGATGAGTTTTTGTGATGGTGGCCAGGACCAATTTGCCTCATGGACTAACCCAGCTAAGCTACTTTCCCTCCAGTGTAAAGTCTATTCATCAAAGAAAAGTGACTTATGGAAATCTCGAGTATACTAGACATAGATCCAAAGAGCCTCTGACTATTAGATGGACTCAATATGCATTTTGCTCCCATAACACACTTGCTGAGACAGCAGATCACTTTTTACACCTGAAGCATGCAAGATGCTACACGCATGAAGTTCATACTGGCTCAGGAAAAGGACACTAAATTATATATTCCTTCCGTCCCCTCACAGAATTATACTCTCCGTCGCCAATGTTATTAAAGAGGCAAAAGGATGTGGTTTAATTACAGGGCCTCTCGCCTGAGACAAGCAACAATTTGTTGAAGGCTGAGAGAGGTCACCTGATTAAGGAGGGGAAGACCCTGAGGAGCGGGACACAAGGCTGGCAGGGCTGGGTCTTAGGAAATACAGTGCAGAGCAAACTAATGTGAGGCAAACATTTCCACTTCTAACAACCGTGTTCCAAAGCTGCTGTCTGAAGTCAGATGTTTGGAACTCAGACACATTTCCCCCTATATAATAAGGTTGTAACTTAGGTGTTGGAGAAGTTTTCAGAGTAATCCATAAAGACTATTCAAATATGACAAGATAGTTCTCTTTATTTTAAAAATAAAATGTTTCCCCTCTGATCAGCAATTCATGTTGATTGTATGATTAGGAAAATACCAAAAATAAAGGGAAGAAAATTAAAAGTGCTATTCTGCTATTCACTGGTGAAAGTCATCCTCTGTCTGATCTGTAGTTCCCTTCAACTATTTTTTTCTAATTAAGAAAATATACCGTTGCCCGGTTGGTGTGGCTCAGCGGTTGAGCACTGACCCATGCACCAAGAGGTCACTGGTTTGATTCCTGGTCAGGGCACATGCCCAGGTTGTGGGCCCAATCCCCAGTGGGGGCATGCAGGAGGCGGCCAATAAATGTTCTCTGTCATTGACATTTCTCTCTCTCTCTCCCTCTCCCGTTCTCTCTTTCTAAAATCAATAAAGAAGAAGAAAATATACAGTTGAATGAAATGTAGGCACAGAGGAAACTACAGAGACAATAGGTAGATTAGTGGTTGTCTTGGGCTGGGGACAGGGAGGATGGGGGTTTGGAGGATGAATGCTAAGGGGTGCAGGGTTTCTTTTTGGGGTGGTGAAATGTTTTAAAATTGATTCTGATTGTTGTACAACTTCATGAATATAGTAAAAGTCAATGAACTGCAGACTTCAAATGGATGAATTATATCTCAATAAAGCTGTTAAATATGTGTGTGTGGCCCTGGCCGGTTTGGCTCAGCGGTTAGAGCATCAGCCTGCGGCCGAGAGAAACCCGGGTTTGGTTCCCGGTAAGGGCACGTACCTTGGTTGCAGTTTGTCCCTGGCCCTGGTTGGTCGTGCAGGTGGCAGCCATTCGATGTGCCCCTTCACGTCGATGTTTCTCTCTCTCTCTCTCTCTCTCTCTCTCTCTCTCTTCCTTTCTCTCTCCCCCACTCTATCTGAACAAAAACTGGAAAAATGTCCTCAGGTAAGGATAAAAAAAAAAAGTGTGTGTGAAATCAAACTATCTTTTACAATATCCATTACAAATTTTGGGAAATGTCTCAATAGTACTATTTCAACTATAGTTAACCACCATATACACATATGGGGTAGGCAAAATTAGGTTTATGGTTGTGAGTTATAGTAATAACCATAATCTTCATATCTTTTTCCATACGAACTGTAAACTTACTTTTGCCCCCCTTTGTAGATGTTTTGATAATAATGAACTTGGAGCTGCCTCTCCAGATGTCTGGAACACACCTTGTGTAGAGGTTTCTCTCTCACTTGAGCATGCACACCCATGGGGAGCAGAGTATCTGTCCCAAACAGGGCAGATGCCCTGGCTGCCTTGCATATCTCTCAACACAGAGACCCTCACTTCTCAGGGATCCTGACTGAGTGTACAAAGGGTAGCTGCCTCTGTGGTGGACAAAGGATGGGATCTGGAAAGATCCTGAAACACCATCTTCAGTCTCCTGTATGTGTTGCTGACGGGACATGAAGGTGGGGGTTTGCAATCTATACAGCCTATCTGGGGACTGTTATGGGTTGAACTGTGCCTCCGCCAAATACATATGAATGTAACCTTATTTGGAAAAAGGGTCTTTGCAGGTAATCAAGTTAAGATGAGGTCATTAGGGTGGGCCCTAGTCCAATATGACTGTGTCCTTATAAAAAGGGGAAGTATAGACAAAGAGACAGTTACCCACACAGGGAAATCTCTATGCGAACAAGAAGGCAGAGATTGGGGCGATGTGTCCACAAGCCTTTTGGTCTCCAGAACTGAGACATAAATGTCTGTTTTTTAAATTTAAGTTTAAGAATTACAGCAGCCTTAGCAATTCAATACAGGGACCATGATTCTGAGCTCTCTTCCTGTTCCCTTTTCCACAAGTACAAGAAAATTCAAACTCAGTCCTAAGAGTACAAGGCTGGGCCAATAAGTTTAATTAATTCACCAGGCAACAGGAACAGGAGATTTCTTTCCTTTTTTTTTTAATCCTTACCTGAGGATATATTTTCCATTGATTTTTTAAGACAGTGTGGGGGTGGGGGTGGTGGAGAGGGAGAGAGGGAAAGGGGGAGACAGGGAGACAGAGAGAGAGACATATCAATTGGTTGCCTCCCACATGTACCCTAACTGGGGCCAAGGATTGAACCCGCAACCCAGGCATATGCCCTTAACTGGGAATCAAACCTACAACCCTTTGGTGTGCAGGCCAGTGCTCTAACCACTGAGCAACACTAGCGAGGGAAACTGTGAGGTTTCTTGAGAGGCCAATGAAGTACTCCATGTGGTTGAGGTTCTATTTGATGAGGCCCCTCCCACCCCCTTATAAGATTTTCATACCCAGAAGAATTTGTTGATTCTGGAAATTTTGATATATTCTATGCTTGTTCACTCTTTTGACTCCTTCCCCATGTCTAGGATCAGGCCTTGGAGTTGGGGTTTTGGTCTATCCTCTGCCAACTCCTCCTTCTATGTGGTGGCCTTTCCCTTGCTGCCACTGAGATGTCTTATTTCTGCGTGTTCGCTTACTTGAATGCCCTTCACTTACATCTCTGTTTGCTGAAGACCTATCCATGCTATGAGGCCCAGTGTGAGCCCTGCTGCCCCCAGAATGTGTGTGCCAAGTTCCCTCCAGCTGGCAGGGTTCTGAGTGGACTCTGGAGCCAGGCAGGTTGGCCGCGCCCACCTCCAAGGGCTTGGTGGTTAGATGAGCTCAATGCTTGGACAGGGAAGGGTTCCGTGACAGTGACTTTGTCATGAGCAAGAGCTTTCCTTTGGGTGTCCACAGCTACAGCCTGGGAAGCTGTCTGTCCCCTTATCATTCTGTGAGTTAGGTGGAACTGGAGCATCACCCTCATCTTTATGCCCTCCACCCTCCATGCCTCCCTGCTGCAGGTGTTTGGGCCCACGTGCTCCTGCCTTTGAGATGGCAAGCCAGGGCTCACCATGACAGCCCCTCACATGAGGGCTTTGAAGAGGTTTGTGAATGAGAAGAGGTTTGGAGAGAGGTCTT